GGGTCTATTTTGGATTCGGATCGACCCAGATCAGTATATGCTAGATTAGGTCAGACCGCGTTGAACTGGTCCAGACTCGGGTCAAATTGATTTGGATTTATGTTGGGTAAAGTGTATTGGTTCAAGACAAAACTAAATTTAGTGAATTATTAATAGAAAATTAATACATTAATTATAAATTATTTAATTCAAATGAAGAAAATTAAAAAAAAGGCTAAAGAATTAATACTTGTGTCTATAATGATTAACCTAATGGTTATCCACAACCCAACCCAACCCATCCCAACCCATTTAAATGGGTGGGTTGGGTGATGGCTTACTGAGTGGATTGGGCGGGTTCAGCGGGTTGGGTTAAAAATTACCACCCTTATGTATGACATTGCCCTCTTAAGGGTTCGGTGAAGATTAATTTTGATGCGTCTTGCAATCCGGACATGTTGTGTTTCATTGCTTGTATTGCAAGGGACCACCTTGGTAGAGTGCTAGATGTGAAATGTGAATGTATTAGTAAAGACTTCAATTAACATGGCTGAAGCTAGGATGGCTTCGAAAGCTCACAATGTAGTGTTGAATTGGAAGGATTTCGTGGTGGTCATTGAAGGTGATTCCAAACTTGTTATTGACTGTCTTAACAATAGAGTGGATACGCTGCGGAGCCTAAAGACAATTATCGAGGAGTGTCATGAGCTAAACCTGGTTTTAAAGTGTCGTCTTTGCTACCATCATGTCTATTGCGAAGCAAACCAGACAACGAATTAGTTGACTCATGCAGCTTTTAGTAACATTGTTCTAAACATTTTCAAACTTCCTGGTATCGTTTGGGTTGGGGGCTTGCTAGCCCCCCTCTTGTATAGTTGTATAACACCTTTCAAACTTCAGTGTTTATACTTGAAACGTCAAAGTACCAAACAGCCCCGAAAATCATTGCACTTTCCCATAATAGATTTCACATTTCACTTAAACAATTGAAGTCATGAAATTCTAAAATAGCTGCCAATATGTTAATATCATTCAACTCATAGCAACTTGCAAGTCCTCTGCTAACAATTTCTCAAAAACAGGAGGGCAAGTTACAATTCCAAACAGAAGATTGACCAACAGAAGGCAAATTGGCCAAGGGATGGGCAACTTCTATTGGCACCTCCGAGTAAACAAAAAAGCAACAGAAGAAAAATATCTAGCCAAATCTCTGCACTGAACAACAGTATGAAGAATGCGCTATGGAGGAGCCATACTATCTACCAACAGAAGATTGACCATAACTGAGGAACCACCTTCAACACAGATATCCTGATACTCAAAATCCACAGCAAGCTGCAAGCCACTAAGAAATGAAGCAGCCTCAGCTTCAACAGGTAAAACAAGGATGAAGCGGAACACATTTGCTTACTAGAAAATGAATATTTGTTACTTCTAAAATAACAATTAATTAGTTGCAAATATGCGCTACTTCTTATGAATTAATCATTGGGGGTGTTCGTGTTCATGCTAATGTAGAAGTTCTTTTCATTATGAAAATAAACCATACACATTCAGCACCCCCAATATTTTTCCAATGAAAATATTTTCTAGAGGAAAATTCCATGGGCATTTCAAAGGAAAAGTCATCAATGTAAAACTCAATCAATAGGTTTAAAATTTTAATAGACCATTGAAGTTTTTTTATGTGATAATCGATGGAAAAGTCAGCCGGTTAGATGGTTTACATTGACTTATGATGCAAACTTTACACTGGAAACAAAGTGAAAATACAAATTTGGTGCGGAGTTTTACACAATTGAAAACAAACGCGTGTAAATGCAAATCAATGGTGGAGTTTTACGTCAATTCACATTTATACCGAAATCAAACACAGCCATGAGAAAAAATATTTGCAAGAAAACATGAAAGTTGTGAATGTTACTTCATAAAAATGTCCTCTTACCCCCCCCCCCCCCTCCTCTCACTACACTAACTCATTTTCCAATTTTTGTTTATTTCACTTTCCATTCCAAGCAAAATTCCAAGTTTTCAACCTAGAAAGTGTCATGGGAGACAATGAAGTCAACCCAAAACTGGAGAGCCTAGATTATCAATGGTAGATTCAAATAATTGGATGAAGTCCAGATTAGCTGCACTTGTGATTGTGTTAGGGGGCTGTCTAACCAATAATAATGCCCCAAATCAGCCATCAAGTGTATATTAGAAAATAAACCCATGCAATGTATGGGGTTGACTAGAAATTTGGTAAGGTTTGGGTTGACAAATTTGGCTTTTAACATCAGTTTGGATCCAAGCCAAGGTCCATGTTTATGGTTGGTCTTGGGTTGGCCTTTAATCAGGCCCAATCTATCTACTCTATATCCTGCTGTTTTTAGGATGAGTCCAAAAGGGGTTGGCAAATTTGTGTTTTTTTTAATTATTAAATATTAGTTTGAATTTGATAAATTATTTTATATAAAAAGTTGAGCTCAAAAATATCAAATAGCTTATTCTAGGGGTAAAATAGTAAAATCAGGGAATTTCAGATATTAAAGATTTGGTCCAACACTAACAAGTTTATCTATTCAGAGCCTCTAAAAAGTAAAAAACCATTTATGCATCTTTTCAGATTTTAAAGACTTTTAATATCTTTTTAACTTTTCAGACTTCACATTCCAGATTTATCAAGCACTACAGGACAGATGTTACAAAAATTGGCTATTGAACAGAGTGACTGTTTTAAGAATGATTTTACTAGAGAGAATTATGACAGATTTTATCAGAGAAAATTAAGCTTTGAGAGGGTTTTAATTGTAACTTCCAATACTTTTAATAACTTTATTATTTAAAACTTCCATTCACTTTTCTACAATTCTCTTAAAACTTAGCCTGATTTTTAAGTAAAATCCCTCTATCTTTATAAAACCTCCCTTCTACTTCCAGAAAGGACTGAGAGTTACCTGTCAGAGTTATATCTAACGGAATCTTCAAAGTGTCTTTCACCCTTGCTAATTCTTTAAATTGTCAAAATAATGTAATTTCACCCATTAGAAAAGTGACCCACAAATACTGATTGATGTTTGGTTAGGCTTTCAGATAGCAGGCAACAGACATAGAATAGCTGTGTTTTAATAGATGATCCATGATCGATATGTTAAACCCTTTGCAACTATAACCAATAACAGGTACACTAGTTAAGAACAGATTAACAGAGAGTAACAACAGCAGCTTAGTGGTGATAGTGGTTGCAATAAGACAGACCCCATCGTTGACTATTTTGAAAGAACATTTTCTTATATCTTCAACTTCCGTTCTCAGTGCCTCCGTAGCTGGTCCCTTTTTTTTTTTTAAGTAAAGCATTGTAGCTGTAATTGTCATCATTGGAGCTGGCTATTAACCTTTCTTATAACCTCAAAAAATCAAAATCGTCATCATTCTTATAACCTCCATCCCACTACCCGTGCTGGTACTTGCAATCCTGGAAATACTTCCTCCTGTAATCAAGGCTGCCCAATTTTGCATCCACCACGAAACTCGGCGCTGGGATCCAGATTCTAATGATACAGAATTATATATGAACCAGCAAATTTGAGCTTCTGCAAGGTTTTAAAAACCAATCCGGAAACAGAATTGCTCTCGCCACCGGTTTCCAAGTCAGCAGTTTGACCATCCGTATCGAACAGCTCAAACGATCTGATTAGGTTAGAAAATTAGGGTTTTATATCCTTACTCTTTTATAAGAAAAAACTCAAAATGAGATGTGGTTGTCAACTGAGAAAGAAGAAGGAAAGAGAGGAAAAAAAAAAGAAAAGAAGAAAAGAGGGAAAAGGAAGGAGGAAGAGCATCCAATGGTCACCTGTGACGATGGCAGTGGCGGCAACAGTAAATGCAATGGTGTTAACAACTTCGGATCTTTATGAAATCTCAGATCTGTAATATCTCTCTCTCTCTCTGGGATCTAATCTCAGATCTAAGACTCATTTTCTCCTCATCTCTCGATCTCTTTCATCCTATGAAAATGCAATCGCTGCCTGAGTCAAATGGGTCAGTAGTTCGACCGCCTAAATCAGTGGTTCTCTGACCAAATCAACGTTTTCTGACCCAAGAATGGGTTAAGGGTGAAATAAAACCGGTTGTCTGGACAGTTTTCAGGCCAAACAGTCCAACCATCCAAGTCAACGATCAACGACGGTTCAAAAATATTGGCTTTTGACCTTATTATAAAACGTTACTTATAGGCTGCCCAGGTGGAACCCACCTCACAAAATAAAAAGCCACCACGGGAAAGACCTCCTAAATGGGAACTAATTCATCTAATTGGAAAAATTCAGAGAGGAAAAAACTAGTGATACCCAAATTATGGAAAGAATATTGGTGTGATTAGTATAGATTCTCTTCAGAAAACAATAAGCTCTCCTTTCACACAGACACATGCAAGAGGGGTGCAACTTGAGTGGGTCCAATTCGAGTTTTTGTACGGATTGAGCCTGAGTTTTGGGCTTCAGATTGGGCTGGGCCAAAAAACTTTGGGCCCCACCTAAACTTGAGTTGATGCTTTACATAGCCCAAGCCCGGCCCAACCCAACCCAGGCTGGATTCATTCCAAGCCCATCCAATAAAATGCATACATATGTGTGCTATATTTATATGAAAATATCTATTTTCTAATTATGTATACATGTGCATATGTATAAAATATGTATATATGCATTTGTAAATGAAATTTGCACATATTTTCAATCAATAATCTGGCTTGGCCCAACACAAATTGTGTTAGGTTAAGCTCAGGTTGGGCTTAAGTTGACCTTCAACCCGACCCAACCACACCACCCGAGTTGCACCCATGCAAGTTTCAGTTTCCCTCCATGGGTTAATAACCTGTAATGACAGCTACGGATTTTCTTAAACAACACAATGTTCCACATGCGTGGTGTTCAGTGCATTTGTAACACAAACAACACCACAATTTTATATGGGTGTTGTCATCCTCTGCTGTGAAACCCAATTTCTTTATGCTACGACTGTCTGTAATACTCGGATTACCAGCCTGACCTCAGAATTGTTTTTTCATTTTTATATTATTTTGATAGATAAACCAACTAAAAAACTAAACAAAAAACAGTCGTCCAACTATGATACATCAGCAAGTCCCTGTGGAGGAACAGAAAACCAGACCATAGAACCCCTAACAGATTTCCCATTTTCCTAAAAAAATTAAACCTAACTTCATATAAACCATTAAACAAAACAAAAAATTTCGTTCGCTAGGTGCCAACAGTTCCAATTAATAGAACCCCAATCCCCATTGAGAGCTTTTGTAGCAAGAGAACAATCAGATCCAATCACCACTCTGACAATTCTGATGAACCACAAACTGAACAGCCATCAAAGTTGTTCTCAACTCGACTTCCACCAGAGCATGCTTGCTTGCGAAAACACCACCTGCAGCCTCAAGAAAAACATGCAAGTGGTTTCTGACTACCAAACCAAAAGATCAACATGAACTAGACTTTCAAGAGAAGCAGAATGGGCAAATTTTAGAAATTATTAAAACTTAAAGGGCTCAAGATGTTTAGTTCTTAAAGCTTACACCAAAGAATGGTCATTATGCAGGAACCTCAAGAAAGTTTTGATTAAAAAGCAGTGTGCACATGAACAGTCTTCCTCCCCTCATACCACCAGAATCCCGTTTATCAATTTCCTTCGAAATCAATTTAAGAAACTGAAAAACCAGAGTTATAAGTATTGGTACTCTTTATACACAAACTTTGCATATAGAGAGTTTATTTTGATCGAGACTCTTTTTCACTTGTTTGGTTTGGTAATTTGACAGGGGACATGTCACATCTGTGCTTAAGTTTTAAAACAATTGAAATAACCTAACTCCTATTATTCAAGAGTATCAGTAGCCCAGATAATTGATATGTATTGGTTGATATGTGCCAATACGTTGCTATGTTTGAACCTTGTACACAACAAACATATAATGGTTAGGCATGGTTTGCAAGGTATATTTAATGCAAGCCTAAGATAAACTATTAGCCTTCCAACCATTGAGGCTAGCATAAAACTTGACCAAAACAAAAACCAAGGAACTCATATTTTTCTTCTAAACAAGAGGAACCTCAAGATAATTCAAGGAACATTCTCATTTGTTTCCTCAACAATTTAAAACATTTTTTTGATTGTTAAAATTTAACACATTTATGAGGGACAGTCTTGCTACACAAGAAACCAGACTTTGTTAAAATCAATAGCTTGATCAGACAAATTCTTAAAAGAATTAAATAATGCCCAACAACTCAGCAGCTTCATTCCTAGAAGTCCTACCAAACAAGATGATATCATCAACAAAAAATAGATGTGAAATACACAGGGAGTCCCTAGAAAATTTAAAACCATTAATTTTACTTCTCTTTCAGCTATTGGAAAAGGCCTTCCATATACAAAATAAACATAAACAAACAAAGGGAAATTGGATCCCATTGTCTCAATCCTCTAAAGGGTTGGAAAAAATAAAAGATAAAAAATAAATAAATAAATAAAAACTTTAGACACCATATTGACAATAATGGAGAAACTAACAGAGGAGATTCAATCATATATCATCGAAATCACTCCCTACAAAAGCCCAAAGCTATCATAACAGCAACCAAATAACTCCACTCTAGCCTATCATATGCTTTAGAAAGATCAAACTTAATAACCTTCACCTACTACCTCTCCTTTTCTTTCTCACATTAGGCAGTACTTTTAGAATGACAACATAATCCAAAGGTTTTATTTACAATTGGAACAACTTTTGCTAACGAAGGTGTGGCAATTTTTTTTTTTTTTTGATCGATAACGGCAGTGTGGCAAAAATTATTTAACAACAATCAATTGTTCCAAAACATGAACAGCAGTCTTCAACAAAATTACTAAACCCCTTCAGCCACCAATTCCTGAGAAAATTAATTACAGATTCTGGATTACAGTTGCTCACACCAAACAACATTTTCACCCAAGCCCATAGCACCTCTGGAGTCTTATAAATGAACAAAAAAATGATCAGTTGTCTCTTGGGCACTATCACACATAATGCAAGCTTCATCTGTCAGCTGCACTCCCCTTCTAAACTATTATAGGCAACAATCTTTATGGATTGTTATAGAATTAACAACAATTAGAGTAACTATTCTCAAATGTTGACAAAAGAACAATTCATTGTATTTAGCAACAACTACAGACTGTTGTAAATAATCATTTCACTATTGATACTAATATACTAAATTGCTGCAATTTAAGTGTTAATAGACCATTAGACAAGAGCTAAAGTAAATTTAAGTGTTGCTTAATCATAGGTAATTGTCGGCCAATTTTTGCTAAAACCTTGGTTATTGTTACTAATAGCTTGTTGACTTTTGCTAATTATAGATTCAATTTTTTTTTTTTATCAATAACACTTTCATTAACTAAACCGTCAAGAAAAGGAAAAAAAGAAAGAAAGAAAACACGCTATAGTTACAGCTTAGCCCAAAACAGTGAGTCCCTTTCTGCCCCTTGTTTAGCTAAACCGTCAACTAGGGAGTTAGTCGATCTTTTAACCCAATGTATCTTAACTTCCATCTCCCGCACCAGCCATTTGAATTTCCTCCTCTCATTATTGTACTTCCATAAGCCATTGTGATTTTTAGACAGCCACCCTATCACCACCTTTGAATCCCCTTCAATTAAGAGTTTCCTGATGTTCAACTCCTTAGCTTTCTGGACTCCTTCCATAACAGCAAAGATCTCAGCTCTAAGGGAGTCACCCACTCCAATTGGGCCTGAGAAAATGGCAGAAATGATCCCATTTTCATCCCTAAAAACACCCCCAATCCCCGATTGTCCCGGATTTCCCCTGCTACACCCATCAAAGTTTAGTTTCACGAATCCAC